CAACCGGGGGGGGGAAGGGCGGTGCTTACGGTCTGTGCAAGTGATGCGAGGCTCCTTCCCAATGCCCGCTGGGCAGGCACCGGATGGTGGGCAGGTGGCGCTGGACGAAGCCCTCGGCGCACTGGTACCGCACCAGCGCGTTGATCTCGTAGCGGTCCTTCTTCTGGCCGAACGTCCTGGCGTGCTCCACCACGGGGGGCTCTCCGCAGGCCACTGGGGGGCAAACACCCGTCAGAGGGGGACCTCAGGGGGGCTCTTGTTTTTTTTAAAATCTTTATTGTTGAAAGTATACATATGTCCCCTTTTCCCCACATCGACTCTCTCCAACCCCCTCCCCCCACCCTCAGGGCCCCATTGTCTGTGTCCACGGGTTATGCATCTATGCATCCAAATTCTTTGATTGATTACCTCCCCCCCACCCTCCCTCGCCTTCCCTCTGAGATTCCGCCCTCTGTTCCATGCTTCCATGTCTCTGGATCCACTCGGTCCATCAGTTTATTTTGCTAATTAGATTCCTCGCACGCGTGAGATCACCGGAAACTTGGCTGTCTCTGGCTGGCTTTATTTCACTTAGGGTGATACCCTCCAGGTCTTAGGGGGGCTCTTGCGAAGACCCCTGCCCACGATGAGCCAGCGTGGTCCCCTCTGGCTGTGACGAGACAGCCCGGAGCCCACGGCACGAGGCAGGGGCGTGGAGCCCGCACACCCAGCCTCGAACCCGGGCTGCTAAGGGTGTTTTCATGCAGCGCTCAGAATCTGACCATCCTCTGGGCTTCCCCGGTGGTTTAGAGCGAGCAGGGAGGGAATAAAAGGAGGGTCTTCAGGGGACGAGGAGAAGACGGAGGGTGGGAGAAAGGGAGAGGAAGAGGGTGAGAGCCAGCAGACCGGCTGGAGCTGTTCATGAAATCATTCTGGTGCCGGGAAAGTGGGGCGGAAACGTTCCCTAGCAGTGGACTCGCTCCTGCCCTTGGCTCTGGGATGCTGATGCTGGGAGTGGCCCCAGGACAGTTCCAATCTGGCTGGTGGCCATGAGGTGACAGCAGCAGCCAGGACACAAGGAACCTAAAGTCTTTTTGTTGTTGTTAATCCTCACCGGAGGACATTTTCCCATTGATGTTTAGAGAGGGTGGGAGGGAGGGGGAGAGGCACATAGAGAGAGAAACATCGATGTGAGAGAGACACATCGATTGGTTGCCTCCCCAACGCGCCTCGACCAGGCCTGGGGATGGAGCCACCGAGGTCCGTGCCCTTGACCGGAATCGAACCCAGGACCCTTCAGTCTGCAGGCTGACGCTCTATCCACGGAGCCAAACCGGCCAGGGCTGGACCCTGAAGTCCTGCTTCCTCCCGCCTGGGCCCGCCCAGGCCTGGCTTACCTGTGCCCTTCTTACACGTGAAGGGCAGGTGGTAATTGCAGGGCACGTCGTTCCACTCGCCCTTCTCGTGCCAGATCATCACCACGCAGTCCTCTCCGGAGGCAAAGAAGTTGTCGGGCTGGTTGGGGCGCCAGTTCTCAAATTGCTGTGGGTGGGAGCGGGGCAGGGGTGAGGCGGGCACAGGAGCCACGTGGCTTGTCTGGCCTGACCCCCACTTTCTCTCCCGTCATGCCCCAGCGGCATCTCCTTTCTCTCTCTCTCTCTTTCTCTCTCTCTCTCTCTCTCTCTCTCTCTCTCTCTGTTAATCCTCACCCGAGGGTATTTTTCCCATTGATTTTTAGAGACAGTGGAAGGGAGGGGGAGACACAGAGAGAAACATGGATGTGAGAGAAACACATCGATTGGTTGCCTCCTGCACGTGCCCCGACCAGGGCCTGCACATCCTAGGAGGAGCCTGCAACCAAAGTACATGCCCTTGACCGGAATCAAACCCAGGACCCTTTGGTCCACAGGCAGATGCTCCATCCACTGAGCCAAACTGGCTAGAGCTTTAAAAAAAAAAAAAAAATATATATATATATATATATATATATATATATATATTGATTTCAGAGAGGAAGGGAGAGGGAGAGATAGAAACATCAATGATGAAAGAGAACCATTGATCGGCTGCCTCCTTCATGCCCCCTCCTGGGGATTGAGCCCACAACCGGGGCATGTGGCCCTGGCTGGAATTGAACCTGGGACCCTTCAGTCCACAGGCTGATGCTCTATCCACTGAGCCAAACTGGCTAGGGCTTTTTTAAAATTTTTTTATTTCTTTATTGATTTCAGAGAGGAAGGGAGAGGGAGAGAGGGACAGAAACATCAATGATGAAAGAGAATCATGGATACGCTGCCTCCCGCACGCCCCCTCCTGGGGATCGAGCCTGCAACCTGGGCATGTGCCCTGACCGGGGATTGAACCGTGATCCCCTGGTTCATAGGTTGACGCTCAACCACTGAGCCACGCCAGCTGGGCCGGGAAGCCTTCTGGGACGCCTGAGCAACTTGAGCTCCTAGAGGCGGAGCATTTACTATGTGTGTTGTTCATTTGGCGACTATGGCGCTGTCTGTCTGTCTGTGTCCTTGAGTCCACGCCAGTCCTTCGTGGGCCAAGGCGCCCTCTAAAGCTTCCGTACGTCTCTCAGGGTGGTTTGCCTTCATTCATTCATTGCGTTCTCCTTCCCTCACGGGGTCATTCGCTCACCGTGTCCAGCCCTGGGCTGGTGTTGGAAGGCGAGATGAGAGAGACACCCCGCCCCCCGCACCCCCCACCGCCCTGAGTGCCTGGAGCGGCAGCTGCTCTGGATGTGGCTGGAATGCATCTCTCTCTGGGGTCTCTATGCCCCTCCTCGGGGTCGCCCACTCTGCCCCGGGAGGGGGGGGGCCCTGGCAGAACTCACCAGGGAGTGTCCATCTGACCAGCGGAAGTCCCCTTCGATGCTCCTGTCGTTCAGGCCGATCCACTGGTAGTTTTGAGCATTGTCTGCGGAGAGGACACGGGTGTTGGGGGGGGGACATCCTGGGGATGTCTCAGACACTGGAGCTCACAGAGGCGGAGGGGACAGGGGGGTGGTGGGGCGTGGGTGCGCTCCGAGGAGCACGCCACCCGCTTCTGAGGTCCGGACAGGGGCACATGCGTGATGGGAGTGCCTGCGACCACCCCCCCCCCTCCGCCCCAGCTGGCATGGGCTGGTGACAGCCACGGGGTTACTCTGGGGCCGATTTATTATTATTATATATTTTATTGATTTTTTACAGAGAGGAAGGGAGAGGCATAGAGAGTTAGAAACATCGATGAGAGAGAAACATCGGTCAGCTGCCTCCTGCACACCTCCTACTGGGGATGTGCCCACAACCCAGGTACATGCCCTTGACCAGGAATCGAACCTGGGACCCTTCAGTCCGCAGGCCGATGCTCTATCCACTGAGCAACACTGGCCAGGGCAGGGGGCTCATTCTGATAGATGCTGGGCTGTGTTGGGTGCAGCAGGAGCCACTGGCCCCAAAGACTCCTCTCTTCTCTCTCAGGCTGGGGGAAGCCCTTCCCTCCCTCCCTCCCCCCACCCCTCCCTCCCTGCCCCCACCCCTGCAGCCTTGCTGGGTCCCAGTCTGCCAGCTTCGGCCCCAAGACCCCACCGCACACTCACTGTTGACGAACTCCTGCTCCTCGGGGGTGAGGATGCTGCTGAGGTGGGACTGGTGCTTCCGGCAGCGGCTCTCGGCGTCCACCCAGCTCTCGCGCTCCGGGAAGTGGCGGTAGCAGTGGCCCTGGAACTTGGTCCAGCCCTCCTCGCACAGCGCCTGGTCTGCAACACAGGTGGGGGGGGGGGGGGGCCTTGACGGGAGGGGCCGAGGCCGCCAGCCTCGAGGCTCGGACTCCTGTGTTCGCCCTGCCTTCCATGTCACCCCCTCCAAGGAGGGGGAGGCCCAGCTGGATGGGGGCTCAGGGTGGAAGCCAGGGAGGCCTGGCCCTGGCCCCCGGCCCTTGCGTGCAGGTTCCCACCCTCTGAGAAAAGCCCGGGATCCTTCCCTCTCTCGGTGCACCCCCCCCCACCCACCTCCCCAGCTTCTCTCCTATCACTGCCTGCTCTGGGGGAGGTGGGAAGGTGGGAGGCCCTGAGGGTCTCTAGGGAGAGAGGGGGTTGCGGGAGGTGTGTGAAGGCGGCAGCAGCAGGAGGGCAGAGCTGGGGGCAGGGAGGGACCCTGGGGTGGGGACAGAGGAGCAGAAATAAGTCTGCTTTGGGTCCAAAGAGGACGCAGAGCTGCAAGTCCCTCCGTCCGCCTGTCCGTCCGTCCGTCCGTCCGTCCGTCCGTCCGAGCTGGCTCTAGCTCAGTGCACTGTCTCCCTCTTAAAGGGCCAAGCAGCCAAGACGGGGGTCCTGGCTTTTGATTTTCTCTCCGTGGCAGGTGAGGAGCGGGGAGGAGCGTCCCTCCCACAAAGCTCTATGGGTCACGGGTTCTGAGCTCCGGAGGAGGGGCTGGGCATGGGGCTCCTGGTGAGGGAGTGGAGCTCCCTGGGCAGCCTGGGGGACGGACAGGGGGGGGGGTGTTTAGCTCTCAGGCATGGGTGGGAGGGCCCTGATGCGTGTCTTCCCAACTCTGCCTCCGGCCACATCCCAGCGGCAGCTTGCAATGGGCCGGGTGGGAGCATTCTCCCTCGGGAACTGGCGGCTGCTGCACGTGAGGGCTCCCCCTTTCGGCTCCGAGAGCCCAGCCCCGCTGTTAGACACAGCGCTGGGCGGAGGGAATTCCCAGACCCCTTCTTCCTGGGGGGGCCCCCCAGGCGAAGGTGCCCAGGGCCCTGGGCAGCCTCCCAGGGAGAGAGGACCAGTTGGGAGGGGAAGGAACTCCGGCTGGAGGGGTGCAGGCGTGGCCAGTGGGAGGAGCAGGGAGAGTGGGAGGCCAGCAGGCTGAGAAGAAAGAGGCAGAGCAGCCGGGGGGCCAAGGAGGGTGCTGCTGCTCCCGAGGGCAAGGCCTTCGGGCAAAGGTCTGGAAAGAAGGCGGGAGGCCTCAGAGCTGGTGCGGCACCCAGGCCACCCCAGGGCTGGCTGTGCGGTCCATTCTTGGGCCACCTCAGTGTCTGAGGGCCCAGCTGGAGCAGGCAGCTGCTCCCGGAGAGGCAGGGCCATGCATGCAGGATGGAGGCCTGGTGGGGGGTGAAAGGGGAGGAGGAAGTAGCCACAGCATTCCAGGGGAGCTGGGAGGGGGAGAAGCAGGGGGACCAGAGCCCAGGCAGGAGGGCCTGGGGGTGGTGCGGGCTCAGGATGGGACGGGAGAGGAGACGCAGCCCTGCTTAGCTGGGTGCCCGCGCCCAGGGCCCAGCGGGGCGGCTCTGGCTCCATCCAATGTCCTGTCAGGGCCCCGCCTCCACGCCCACAGGACAGCCCCGCTCCCAGCCTGGTGCCCGAGAGCTGTGGTCCCTACGGACCTTCCAGACCCTCCTCTCCATGACAAATATGTTGGCATCTTGTGGAGAAAATGCTTATACCTCTGTCCTCCCACCCCAGCCAGCACCCCATGCACCCATGTCTTGGGGTGAGAGTGGAGGATGGGAGGCTGCAGGGAGGAGGAGGAGCAGCAGCACTTGGGCCTTTGCTTGCAGGCGCCTGAAGTTCCCCCGCCAGCCTGTGACCTTGGCAATGCCTCCAGGAACATGCGATCCTCCTGCCTCCCACACTGCTTAGGACCAAAGGGGGACTGCCCAGGAGCTCCACTGCTTTCTAGAAGTTTCTGGGATGTCCAACCTGAGACTGCGTTACAAGTGGTTTTTGCCCGGCTGGCGTGGCTCAGTGGTTGGGCATCGACCTATGAACCGGGAGGTTACTGCTCGATTGCCGGTCAAGGGCACATGCCCGGGTTGCAGGCTTAATCCCCAGTAGGGGGCGAGCAGGAGGCAGCCGATCCATGATTCTCTCTCATCATTGGTGTTTCTCTCTCTCTCTCTCCCTTCCTCTCTGAAATCAATAAAAATATATTAAAAAAGATGGTTTTGCCCTAACCGGTTTGGCTCAGTGGATAGAGCGTCGGCCTGCGGACTGAAAGGTCCAAGGTTTGATGCCGGTCAAAGGCATGTACCTTGGTTGCGGGCACATCCCCAGTAGGGGGCGTGTGAGAGGCAGCTGATTGATGTTTCTAACTCTCTATCCCTCTCCCTTCCTCTCTGTAAAAAATCAATAAAATATATTTAAAAAAATAAAATAAAATAAAAAAGATGGTTTTAAGCCCCTGAACACTTCCAGTTCTCTATGGGCCGTTGCTACTAGCAACCGTAGTTCTTATCTCCCCCATTCTGAGCTGGGATGGCCCTGAGAGCCGGGACATGGGGGTCCTGGTGAGGGAGCGGGGGGCTCGGCCTGGCACGCAGGTTCCCTGGCAGAGCCTGGCACACAGCTGCCCTGCAGAGCCTGGCTCAGGTGCAGAAGCAGAGGGACAGGCAAGGCCCAAGAGATGAAACTCAGCCCCTGCCCTTTGCACTGAGGCCCTGTTCTCTCTAGCCAGCCCTCTGCCTTGCACGGGGGAGGGAGAAAGGAAGTGTGGGCCGGAGTGGCACTGTCGTGGCATCGGTCACCGTGGTGAAGAGGAGAGGGTGACATGCAGCCGTCCCTGCTCATGCATGACCGGGGCATGCGGGTGATGCGGGAGCTCTCAGGCGGGCAAACCGCAGCTCTGGCCGGAGAAGAAGGGGAAGGCAGCTTGGCCTGGGAGGCACAGTGGCTCCCAGTGCCACGGAGGGGCCGTCGAGGTCCCACGGGCCACAAGCAGCAGACGCATGCTCATGCCCGTGCCCACGCGAGGGAGGTCCCTGGCTGTCAACCCGAGTGAGAGTCAGTGACTCCGCCCACGGCTTCCTTCAAGGCCAACGCGCCAGAGTCGGCTCTGTCTTCCTAGTCTGATGCGTGCACCGCCCTTGACGGTGGCATCATCCGTGGGCCTGGAAGCCCTGAGGAGGTTAGCGTTTTATTTACTTATTATTTATTTAAAACATATTTTAATTGCTTTCAGAGAGGAAGGGAGAGGGGGAGAGAGAGAAACATCAACGATGACAGAGAATCATTGATCGGCTGCCTCCTGCATGCCGGCTACCGGGGATTGAGCCTGCAACCCGGGCATGTGTCCCTGCCCGGAATGGAACCTGGGACCCTTCAGTCCGCAGGCTGACGCTCTATCCACTGAGCCAAACCAATTAGGGAAAGATTAGTGTTTTAAAGGTCTCCCAGAGCCCAGCCAGTGTGGCTCAGTGGTTGAGTGTTGACCTATAAACCAGGAGGTCACAGTTCGATTCCCGATCAGGGCACATGCCCAGGGTTGCAGGCTTGATCCCTAGTGTGGGGTGTGCAGGAGGCAGCTGATCAATGATTCTCTCTCACCATTGATGTTTCTCTCTCTCTCTCCCTCTCCCTTCCTCTCTGAAATCAATAAAAATATATTAAAATAGCCTGGCCGGTGTGGCTCAGTGGTTGAGTGTCGACCTGTGAACCAGGAGGTCACGGTTCAATTCCCGGTCAGGGCACATGCCCGGGTGGCAGGCTCGATCCCCAATGTGGGGCGTGCAGGAGGCAGCCGATCAATGATTCTCTCTCACCACTGATGTTTCTCTCTCTCTCTCCCTCTCCCTTCCTCTCTGAAATAAAAATACAAATACATTAAAAATAAAAATACCCAGAGCCCCACATTCCAAAATTTCAAAGTGCCGGCTGGGCCCGGCCCTGCACGTCTCTCCTTTTTCTTAGATCAGCCACCGCCCCAGAGGTGGGACAGCAACAGAAGGAGTGGGGGTGAGTCGGGGTGGCCTTCTCGCTGTGGCTCCCGCACCGGCTCTCTGGATGGACCTCGGGGGGGCCCCGGCCAGGGCCCGGAGCCTGTGGTTAGCAGGGGAGGGTGAGGGAGGAGGAGGGGGTGCAGCGGTTAGCAACATTAGCTGAAGCCGAGACGGCCGGCCGTACCGATCTCACACAGGTCCCCTCGGTAGCTGGGAAGGCATAAGCATGTGAAAGAGTCGATGGCGTCCACGCAGGTGGCTCCATTCACACAAGGGCTTGAGAGGCACTCATCAATGTCTGCAAGAAACCAAGGGCCACCATTAGGACGCCCGCCGGCGACGCGGCTTCGCGAGCACTGCGGCCTCTTTCTGGGTGGCCGGCCCTGCGGCTCTCCTGAGCCCTGGGAGGGGTGGCTGGGTTTCCTGAGAACTGTTGCTGCTGCTGCTGCTGCTGCTGCCGCCGCCATCCTGGAGCTGAGCCGAAGATCCAGAGAGGGGTCTCCTGGGTGCATGTGGTTCTTGATTGGCAAGCTGAGCGTGGAGCCCGATTTCCAAGTGCGAGAGAGTTGGCGCTTCGAAAGCCAAATGCCTATTGCGGAGAGTGAGTGCCGAGTATCTCCGAGATGCTTTCTCTTGAGACTATTTCAAGAAGCCGTGGGGCCCGGCAGGCGTGGCTCAGTGGTTGAGCGTCGACCTATGAACCAGGAGGTCACGGTTCGATTCCCGGTCAGGGCACATGTCCGGGTTGTGGGCTCGATCTCCAGTAGGGGGCATGCAGGAGGCGGCTGACCAATGGTTCTCTCATCACCGATGTTTCTCTCTCTCTCTCTCCCTCTCCCTTTCCTAAAATTAATAAAAAAAGAAGCCATGGGGTCTGACCTGGCGTTGAGCAAGGACATTAAAGGTCAAGTTCTTGACGCTTGGCTAAGTTCTTCCTTTTTCCTCGCTTCCTCTGTAGCTGTGCGCCAGGGGCCGAAGGCAAGGCCATGCAACGCTCGAGCGAATAAGAGGTCTGCGGAGTAGGAAACCATGAAAAAATGGCAGGATGGGATGCGTGCGTGGGAACCACGAACATCTGTGGGTTGCGGACACCGTTCTTATCTTCAGTAAATAAGTTTTTGGAGCATCTTCTGAAGATGAAGCCAGCATTGTTCTCTTGGGGGTGGGGGGTGGGAGAGCCAGAAACCCAGACCAACCCTCCCCCAGGCAATCTGTTGTGTCTAAGGATTCCGACGACGTAGACACTCCAGTGAG